GCCGCGAATTTTTTTTCCGTACTCGAGAGAGCAAAAATCCCATGTGCGCATGCGCGTGGACTTATGATTTCTCTGCTACTTCCCATACGAAATGTACATGTATTCGCATGTACTGTGCACGATTCGCGTTCTACGAGTAAACGATGGCATAGTAGTCTTCAAACACAGACTCTGATTTGCCAGTTTGACAAATCAATATGCGTATGTGTCGCGATGTGCTTATTCAAGTCTGTGTAGTTGTATGATTCAGACCCAGTAGTGCATATGGAAATACATTGCAACTTGTATAGAATGGTATAGTAGTCTGCAAGCACAGACGCTAATCTGACAGTTTGACAACATACTAGTAGTGTGCTGAGAAGTACTTTATTCAAGTCGCCAACTTGTATAGAATGGTATAGTAGTCTGCAAGCACAGACGCTAATCTGACAGTTTGACAACATACTAGTAGTGTGCTGAGAAGTACTTTATTCAAGTCTGCGTAGATGTATGATTCAGACCCTACTGGTGCGTGCGTTAGAAATGCATCTCAATGTGTAGAGTGTAGTATAGTAGTCTGCAAGGACATAATAATATATTGTGTATTGATGAGTAGTGATTTTATGCAAGTTTGTGTAGTTTAATGATTCCAGACCCCATGGTAGGCCTGCAAATTTTTTTTCCGTACTCGAGAGGGCAAATACCCAGTATGTTGTCAAACTGTCAGATTAGCGTCTGTGCTTGCAGACTACTATACCATTCTATACAAGTTGCAATGTATTTCCATATGCACTACTGGGTCTGAATCATACAACTACACAGACTTGAATAAGCACATCGCGACACATATTACGCATATTGATTTGTCAAACTGGCAAATCAGAGTCTGTGTTTGAAGACTACTATGCCATCGTTTACTCGTAGAACGCGAATCGTGCACAGTACATGCGAATACATGTACATTTCGTATGGGAAGTAGCAGAGAAATCCACGCGCATGCGCACATGGGATTTTTGCTCTCTCGAGTACGGAAAAAAAATTCGCGAGCGGGCCCTGGACCCTAGTCTGTAAATCAAGACCCCTTTTTTAAAAAAGCCCCAATCTGTGCCGCATAAAAAAATAACGCACCCCGGCGGCAAATGAACTCGCGCTTGCTATGCGTAAATGTGTTTACACAGTGAGACTAGGCTAACATCATACTGCATGTGCTGTATTAAGCTGCTGACACAACAAGAGTCTGTGCCTGCAGACTACGAGTCTCACCCCCCTTCCCCTTATCTGCCTTTTAAATAAACTTCATGAAACTGAGGAAAATTAAATATATAACAAAACAATCATGGCCATCATTTCCCACTATTTATTTCTTCTTGCATATCCATCCACTTGTAGAGTTTGCATTTTCTTAAAAGAATTGATCTATTTATCAACCTCTGCCTGACCAAATGAATGTTAGACTTTAACAAAGAACATTTTTATTGCCACGAAGAGTATGAGCTAGGAAAGAAATGCAAAGAAATGCTTAAATGTTTTAAGCGGGAGAGGTCGAAGAGGGGGAGGGGGGGGGGGGGTGTGTCTTCAGATTATCATTCCACCGCCCTAAAATTACAGTGGCGTATCGTGAGTCCACCCATTAAGGGGGTACGTAAATATGGGGGCACATACCTGTGGGGGAAGGGCCCGGCGGGCGGGGACACGGGTCTTAAGACTTTTAAATATACTGCGGTAAATCTTAAACGTATAAATGAATGACTACGCTCAACAAAGATTGACGATTGCCATCCATTCTTCTTACTGGGGGAGGACTGGAACCCCCACTCCCCCCCCCCCTACGTCCATAACCATGATCCATTGTAAGCACACACACAATAGAAACACAGTCAGACTTATTTAATATTTTATAAATGCGTTGATAATAATTATAATAATAATAATGATAATAATAATTTCTGGATGTTAATCCTTACGATTAGCATTTAACAAAAAATCAGGGATTTTCTATCAATCCATAATTTTCTCGACTATTGTTTTCTAAAACATTGCATCTCAACATTTAAAACTTATACTTCTGTCACATCGATCGTATCTTAAACTTTCGAATCTCAGTTCAATAAACAATTCCATGAATATCTGTATCTTTCACTTTTAAAACGTCTCAAATTATTTTCGGCTTCCCATACATTCATTTTGTGTCTTTATGAACAATAGATTCTCTTCGTCGATTTAACATTTAAAATTGTGAATTTTGTAATTAAAGCAAAATATATATATTATGTTTGTTTTCTAATGATAACGCTTTGCTGCTAATACGTCAATAAATATGAAACATTCTTCATTCACGCTTGCGTAGTGTTATTGGTAGGTCACAACATTTATCGTTCCTAACATTTGTTTGCATAAACTGTGTTATTCATTGTGATTTGGAAAAGTGTACAAAATGTCCATATTGTTACTGATTATTATTGTATCGGAAAATGCAGAATCAATAAATCAAATCAAATAGTCATTTGCCCAGTGCCAGAGGCACGGGGGCATTTTCTTCCCCGTTAGAACGGCAAAAGGGGTGGGGGGGGGGGGGGGGTAGGTGAATAAAGATAATTTTTGTGAGCAGATGAATAGATCCCCTTACTCGATCGATAGCCTTGCTCTCTCGCATTTCATCAACCTAAGGGGACCGCCCCCTTCCCCAGCATCAATAACCCCTCAATGCCTGGACCTTCAGGGGCGGATCCAGGGGGGCGGGGTCCCGGGCCCCCTCCCCTGGGAAAAAATACAGTTAAAAACACGTTAATTTTACCTCTTTTTTTTTGGAGAAGGGCCCCCTCCCCTGGCGCTCAAGGGGGGGGGGGTGCGATTGTTCAAATTTTCGAGAAACAAAAAATAGTGCTCACTACCCCCCCCCCCCCGCCTCCCCTGCTTATTCACCGGCTGGCTGTTTAGCCGCTAAATATTCTCTCACGAATTGGGCCCCCTCCCCTGCCGCCGGCTGAATCCGTCCTTGCCTTACTATGCCACTGGTAATAAGGCAGTTATAACTTCAATAACATATTTAAATTTCATTTGATGAATATGATTGCACAACCCTTTCAAGGAAATAACGGTATATATTTATATATTAATATTGAGCTGTCATAATGTGCCATATAGATATATGTACTCAATTTGCTAATAGTTCTGTAGATAGCGCTTTCACTTCATCTTTGTACTTTGGTCCAAAGTGACTCCTGCAAATGACAACAAAGAAAGAAAGAAAGAAAGAAGTATTTAGACAAAATTAGCATACCCAAAAATTGATAAGCGTTGAACGCTCAATTTCTAGATGGTAAGCAGAAACGCTGTTGGCACGGAACACACACATTGGTTTCATACCTTTCCTGATAGGCCTGTGTAATATTTTTGAATACACATGTAATAATTGGTTTCGTCTTTTCATGCCTATTCAACAATCAAATAAATCAAATAAATTTATCAAAATCAAATCCACAAATTTGGACTAAGGGGATTTTGGATTTTCTGTTTGATAATCGTGTGATAATCTATCTTCATAATGCACAAAGTCACTGGCAGAATTAGTATACAACGAGTGGCACTTGAATTGGAGGGCTAGGGTGGATTGGGCAGTCTGAGGGCGTCCTATAGCAAACAGGATCAAGTACAAGTTGACTATAATATATGTATCAGTCAGGGACCGTTTTGAGTATGGGGATTCTCCCATGGAATTCCCCGAGTTCTAGGTTGATCAAGAATTGAGGGAGGGAAGGGGGCAACCCCCCCCCCCCCCCACTCAGTGTTATTTAGGGTACGCGTATGCATGTTCCCTCCCTTTGAAAGCATCCCCTATCTCTGGTGTGTATGAGTCAATACGAGACGGACTTTGTTGCGTGAAAAGTACCCCTTTACCGGAGATTTCGGGAACAAGAATGTGGTCCCTCCGATCCAAGAGTGAGGGGGGGGGGGGGGGGGGGGGGATATGACACCTCTTTCTGAACCATGAGAAAAATCTACCCACAATAATAAATAAATTGGAAGGACAAAAATGTAATTGCCCCTTATGCTTAACGCATGTTGGAAGGCTAGCGGTACAGAACATTTTCAATCAAACCAGAAGAAAGATTAATCAATGTCGAAAGGAAATCAATGTTTTTAACGAGAAGTGAGCACTCTTTGGAGTCTTGTACGAGCAACTTATATTTGCCTGAATTAGAGTTCGTTGATTAACTGATTTTTTTGCATTAAAGGTAAAAACCGGTTCTGGTCATGCGATTGCATTGTGAAAGAAACGTTGTGGAATCGATCAGAAAAGGTTGATCATCTAGCCGCAAGTAGTGATGTGTACTGCAAGGTTCTGGAATTACCCAAATGATAAGAAATTTGGCCCAGTCTTGGTAAAGTTACAAGCACGAACTGTACACAGAAGGATGTAAATGGGACTACACGTCACGTGCGCGATATCTATCCGGTCCGGATATAGATATAATAATTTACCAAATATATCAATTAGTAGGCGGTTTCCCGGCAAAATGTGTATCATTACGTATTAATCAAAACATATTATTTCACATGATTGGTAATACAAGCTTCCATTTTATTTTTTGAGAGGGGGCGTTTCCAAAGCTGGTTTATACCTTTAACCTAATATATATATATAAATATGTAAATGAATAGTAAATGAATAGATTGTTCAATTTAAAAATACAAGAAATAGATAATTAAATAAATAATTATATAAATGAATAAAATACTCCCCGAATTCTCTGAAAAGCAATTAAAAATGAAAGAGGTAGTCACTCTTCATTCAATGACAAATGACAAAAATCAGTGACAAATCTGTTGATAACCAATCAGAAGCAAGGATTTCAGTACCTTATAACAAAATCTGTCATTTGTCAGGTGTCCCAGGTGTCTTTGGGAGTCTGAAATAGCTCCCAGGAGCACAATGCGGGATACTTTATTTGTTCTATAACTGTATGTTATATGGTTTTAAAAAAAATGTTGTTGTTGTTGATTAGCCAATAAATAATGTCTTACCAGTAATTGAGAAAGAAAAATATCTTGTAGAGTTTTTCCCGCTCTTCGAAGCCCTCCGCTCTAGGAATCAGTGTGTGATAGGCTGGAAAGAATTCTTGGTTGAAGTCGACAAAGACTCGGGCTGCTAGTTCCAATTCGTGATGCCCGTAGAAACAGGCGGGATCGTAGATCACTGCAAAATAAATAGTAGTACAGTAAAACCTCATAAAGACCGCTCAAGGAAGACGAGAAAAGTGGTCTTTGGAGGCAGGTGGTCTTTCTGTCCAAGTTTCAAATAATTCCCAAGGGAAACGAAAACTGTGGTCTGAAAAGACAGATAGTTTTCCTATATACAAGTGGTCTCTAAAGCAGGTTTTACTGTAGTAGTAATAGTAGTAATAGCAAAAGTAGTAGTAGTAGTAGTAGTATAGTAGTTGTAGTAGTAGTAGTAGTAGTAATGGTGGTAGAGTAGTAGTAGTAGCAGCAGCAGCAGCAGCAGTAGTAGTAGTAGTAGTAGTAGTAGTCGTATTAGTAGTGATAGTAGTAGTCAGGGGCGTACGCAGGATTTTTTCAAGGGGGGGGGGGGGGGTTTTAAATATTTTGCTCCCGAAAATCGCAACGACTCAGCCAGCCGAAATGTCGCTCAGTGGGGGGGAGAGGGAGGGGGGGGGGGGGGGGGGGGGGGGGGTAAGCGGACACTTTTTTTTTTTATTTTGGTCTCGAAATTTCAAAATTTGACATTTTTCTTCGTTGAGGGGGGGGGGGTAGGGTCACCTTATTTAGGTTAGCCGTGGGTATAATTTTTTTTTTTTTTTTTATAATAAAAAAAAAAAAAAAAAAAAAAACCAAAGGGGGGGGGGGGGGAGGTGGGGTTTTCAGGTTTTTTTAGGGGGGTTTACATACATAAAAATACCCCCCCCCCTGCGTACGCCCCTGGTAGTAGTAGTAGTAGTAGTAGTAGTAGTAGTGGTAAAGCATATTCAATTGACCTGTTCCTATGAAAACCATATAGAACTTGTTTATCTAACGATAACGGTTTTCCTAAACTATATAGCCTTTAACCTATTTTGGATAAAACAAAATTTCAACCTTCGCCCTAAATCCCTTATAAATAAGTTGGTTTAACTAAAACAAAACAAACAAAATACAAACAAAACTAAAACAAGTCATATTTTTAAAGTTTCGCCGACAGCCTATACAAAATTAGATTTTGACGACAGGTACTTTTTTTATATAGAAAGGTGGGGGTGGGTTGGCGTATTCACGAGTTCCCAAATCACTATCCCCGTGTAGCAACGCCCCCTGTCAAATCGCAGCTCACCTGGGCCAGACGCTGTTTCGGCAACGTTTGCCCCGTGTAGGTCGCCGTGCAGCAAGGCCGGGGTGATGCGGTCGATACCGCGAAATAACCGCGGTATATGCCGCACAAGACGCGGCCACAGTTCGATCAGCGTGCGGTCCCCGAATTCTTGCTCAATGTAATCCACGCGAGGTTTTAATCTTTGGCGGACGAAAAATTCCTGGGAATAGACAGAAATAAAATAGTTATTTCATGAGTTCTCTCGGTTGAATGGCTGCGTTTATATTAAGCTGATAAGGGATTTTGACAACAGGTTAAGGCGGGAGATATTTCAGATTATTATTTTACTTCTTTCAAAAGGGACAGTATAGGTCGATGAAATTTACCGTGAAAGGATTGTTGACGAAGATTGTCATACGATCCAAGATTGTGTACAAGAGGAGGCGGAACATTTGTAACATTTTCTGATAGGTAAGTATATAAAATAAATATAAAATAAATACGATTTTGAAAAGTAACCATTTTTCTCAGGGCCTACTTAATAATAATATATTTTTTTAAGTTAATACATGGGGGGGGGGGGGGGTCAATTTCAGCATCGTGTACTAAAAGTGTGTCACTTTGATTTCACAAGGGAATCCCCCCCCCCCTCCTCCCCCATCTTAATTCACCACTCGTAAGGGGCTATCAGGCATGACGCGGCAAAACTATGGCGGTTTTTTAAATGATGACGTAATGTGTAATACGCTTTATATTTGTGTATCTTATAACACAGAGCTCAGTGAATACGCGCAAGTCCTTTGTCGCCCGCAGTTGACATTCATTTACACTTAAAAAAAAAAAAAAAGGGTGGGGGGAGGAAACACCGCGGCGGCGGCCATTTTTGCAGCGGTTAACCGCGCCATATCTGAACAAGTCTTTATTTTTTTCCTTCTTATGTACGTATTATTCAATTAATAAATGATGGGGAAAAAAAAGAAGAAAAACGTCTTTACGCTCGACCGTCTTACCACCCAATCATCGGACCATGTATTATCCTGAGGCAAGTATCCCACGCAGGTGGAGGTGCTGAATCCAAACTGAGAGACAGATCGTTGGGTTTCCTCTTCCTCCCCGTTCTCCTCCAATGTCACGTGATGAAAACCACCTATCCTTCCATCAGTCTTTTCCTCTCTCGAATTGAGACGACTGTTGTGCAGATGCAACCTGGTTTTGATTGATTCATTTTATTCATCGATTCATACAAAAAACGAGGATAACGACTGAATATTAATGATAATAAATTATTACAATATAAATTTGGAAGGGTCACCCAGCACAGTTGTTTTATTACAGCACAGCTCTTCTACTGAGGGGATCAAATAATAAAACAAGCAAACGAGAGAAAATAACACATCACAACATAAACCATTGACATAGGCCTGTAACTACGGCAACGCTACCTCTACAAATGATGTCTGTTATGTGTTGGTGTTTGTTGTTGGCATGCTGCCTCGACTGTGTTGCCCCCCCCCCCCTCTATATGCCTACAAGGTTTACCTTGCGACAGCTTCACCCAACGCTGCAGCGTGCTGGTCTAGATCTATCATATCAAGATGTTCCATAACGAAGATAGACTCTGGGCCATCACTGTGATCATAGATCTCGATAGGCCTCGGACATCGAACCGTTCCCGTGGCTAGAATGGCCTCCAAGCCCGCCCTCTCGCCCTCGAACATCGTCCTTGTCTGCAACAATGAGATGGTAGATGATTATTACGCAATAATCCACAAGGTAATCTATTTGGTTTGAATTTAGGTCATTATCGCACATGTCTGAATCAGAGCAACTTCTCCTTAAATTTGTTCAGCTAGATGAAGTGAGTAACGCAATAAGTGTCGTTTTTACATTACACAACATATTTTGAACGTAAAGCTTAACGACTACATTCGTTGTGTTATGACCAAGTTAAAGGACTCAGGGGCGAATCAAGGGGGTGAAACTTTTCCGGGAAATGTGATTCCGGGAATCAGGTCGGCCTTCTCTTCACCCTCGGGAAAAATTCCCAGGACTTTATATTCCCGCGGGAATCCGACCAACCCTCAAGGGGGTTGAAAGGGGATTCCCTTACCCTATATCTCTCTAAGTAGGAGAAAGGGGCAACCGTTTCGCGTCTCCCCCCCCCCCCCCCGGCCCCCCACTCCGGGGTCGGAATGACCGCATGCGTGTCCGGTAAAGGGGCTCTTACCCGGCCCGTATTGACTTTACACACCGGACTTAGGGGTGTTGGAGGGAACGCGCATATGCGTACCCTAAATAACACTGAGTGGGGGCCGGGGTCTTCCCCAGCCCATTTGTGCCGGGCCCTTGCATAATAATAGATAGTTGCGACCAGAAGAATTTTAAAACTATACACACAAGTTCTAAAATGATAAGCGATATAAATGTGTTTAATATAAAGTTGCGTTTGCTTTTTTTAGACGCGTGATCTCGTCGCCGTTTTCACGAACCGGCACAGCCCAACGCGCAACCGAAATAAGTACATTCTGAGAAAAACACGTTTTACGTTTAGCCCGTTTTGAATTCGCCAGAAACATGCCTTATGTCAAATTTTATATCACAAAATACATATCAATGAAAGGAAAATATTCTGTATTTTCTATACATTCCATTTGTTAAGCATAATGACAATTACTAATAATATTACAAAGCTTTGGACTCTCGTGCCGGTTCGTGAAAATATTATTTTGCTGTTTACGTAGCAAAAATATTTTCACGAACCGGCACAAGCCACTGTGTCGTTTTTCCTATGTAACTTTACGCGCAAGACAAAAGCGCTCGCGCTGTCTTAGCGCGTATTTTATTTTCACGAACCGGCACAACCGCCTGTGTCACGTCGTCTAGGTCTTGTAAGCGCAAAGATATTTTCACGAACCGGCACAGCCCATTGACTTATAACGGCGCGTGCCGGTTCGTGAAAATATGAATCGTGCTTTTTGGCTCGTGTGTCGTTTTTGTCATTTGTGTAACCATGGATATCTCAAAAACTAAAGCGTTTTGGATGCTGAAATTTGGTGAAATGAAAGATTGTTGATAACTTATGCTAAAAATGCAAAAAAAATAAAAACTACATTTTGAAGGGATTTCGGTGGCTTGTGCCGGTTCGTGAAAACGGCGACGATCTGATTTGCAACTATTTTATGTCAGTTATTCATTCTATTTCCGGTGTAGACACCGAAATTACATCTCTAAAATGGTTATCACACGATTTATGGCAAATTGCTGTTTCCGGCGGCCATCTGATTACAAAATAGTGGCCATCATTGGTATTGCTTTGAGGGTAAGGCTGTTCTAAACTTAATGCATATACAAGACTAGTGAATATCGCGACCTCTGAATATCCCGACCTCTATTAAACATACTTTTAATATTGCTAATTACAGCTTTAGTGTAAATAGTAACTCACTTCCTGTCATATTTAGGAGACTGCATGGCGGCCATTATGGAGGCCATCTCGAATTTCCAGGTTTCCTGGTGGCCATAACCCCATTGTTAGTTGTATGAATGGATTCTTTGACCCGGAAAACCTAGGTATAGACACAAATATCACACCTCTAAGATGGATCTTGGACGCCATTTTGAAAATAACCATTTGACCCGGCTATTTTTGAGAGCTATAATGGGCGCATTTTTGTGGTCTGCCCAAGTATATAATAACATATAGAGCATTCTTGCATCGTTTGTGAAAGAAGTCTACAATGTAAAAGAAATAGCAGAGCTAGTACGGTTAATTAAGCCACTATAGAAAGTGATATTCACAAGTGTGATGCATATACACCATGTACAGTGTACAGGGAATAGTTTGGCTACCATCGGGAATACAGCGTACTATATTCGTGATAGCAGTGATGGCAATTTACAAAACTACACACTTGGGTGTATTAAGTGCTACATAAGACCAGACTATCATTATTATTAGTAATTGTTAGTAGTAGTAGTAGTAGTAGTAGTAGTAGTAGTAGTAGAGTAGTAGAGTAGTAGTATTATTAATAGTAGTAGTAGTAGTAGTAGTAGTAGTAGTAGTAGTAGTAGTAGTAGTATTAATAGTAGTAGTAGTAGTAGTAGTAGTAGTAGTAGTAGTAGTAGTAGTAGTAGTTGTAATAGAAGAGTAGTATAGTAGAGGTTAAAATATCTATTGTTTATTACTGTCACTACTTTCTAAATCATTATCATCATCACAGTCATCATCATTGCAAAGCAAATTTTCAAGAAACCTTACCTGGCTTCTGGAGTTCATCTTGACAAAGAAATGTCCTCTCTCAGTCTTGAAACTCTGGCATTCGCTGATGACTCCTCCCCCACGGGTAGGGATGCTCTCCATATTCTTCAACCCATTAGATCGCGAATGATATTCTCCATCTCCGACAATACTCAACAATATAGGTTTAAATCCTGAAGAAAATAGGTTAAGAGCCCCAACGAAACGAGTTTACGATCTGCCACAAAACAGGTTTCGAACCTCACAGAGTTTTTTTTGAGGACCTGAAGAAAACAGGTTCAGAGTCTGAACTAAATTATCATAGGTTCGGGACCTGAAAAATAGGTTTAGAGCCTAAATGAAACGGGTTTAGATTCTGCCACAAAACAGGTTTCCAACCTCCACAGGGTATTTTCAGAACCTGAACAAAATGTATTTAGAGCCTGACCAAAATAGGTATCGAACCTTAACAGAGTATTTTCAGATTCTAAACAAACAGGTTCAGAAGTTAAAAAACAGAACCCGAACGAAACACGTTAAGAACCTGACCAAAAGAAAAAGCTTAATAGAGGTTCAGAATCTCAAAGACAAAAATAATTATAACACAATTACACAAATAATACAAATATTAATAAAATTATTGGAAATGTTACCTTGCTGAGATTCATATATCGCACGTCCGTGTTATTATACTTTGAGCAATCTCGGGCCTGTAATAGATCCGATGAATACTATAATATGTCCTTAAAGTTCCAGCTATATATACACACAGACGTTCCTTTCTTGCCAGAATGATGATTTTGATCCAAGTATCTTGTTACGGTGCCATGTAATATCCTGGTATACGCAGTGACTTTAGCACTTGACTCTCAGTTGCCTCGAAAGTTTCAAATGACATCTGCACATGACTAGAGATAGATTGTTCAATAGGAGTATACAGATGCATAATTTTTATATCGTGCTCTAAATTTATGTCAGACAATTCATGAACAAAATTTAAACCGTAGATTAGGCCTAATGCCTGCGACTGAATCCTGCGATATGAAAACAACGAAATGAGATTGTGGCATGAAGCTGAACCATGTGTACGTTTATAATATATACGCCGGTTAGATTTGGTTATTGGGTAAATAATGGTTTGCACTTGGGGAAACCCACTCGTTTCGCAATCGACGTAGAGGTAGTGATGAGTGTGTCGTAATGCTCTATAATGTTATTACGATGAATCATTGGATCGTACATCATGACAATAATATGAATAACACACAAACAAATAAAAACGAAAACGAAATTGTAATGACGTGTCATATGATTTGGGTTTACACCCATTTCGTTCCGTGTTTGTGTGCGTTAATATATATCAGAGTGCAATACATGCATCATCGCCGAAGTCCACATGCTCACTGGCGTACGGATGGGGGGGGGGGGGGGGGGGGGGGGGGGGGGGGGCAAATTTGAAATTGTGCGAGCCAAATATTGGTATGTATTGGTGACCACCAAAGCAGTGGCGTAATGAGCAAAATCGTTTGGGGGGGGGGGCAGAAACAAATTCCGCACCAGGGGTTTTATGCATTAAATTACGGTCAGATTAGCATTCAGGGGCCCTAGGTGGCAGAGCCCCTGGAAGCTCAGGGGTTTTAGGTATTAAATCACGGACAGATGAGCATATTTTGTTACCTCATTATTTTGTGACACTGGCAGGTAACTATTCTTTTTTTTTCTTTCTCTTTTTCTTTCTATTTCTCTGTAATATACTTTCTTTTTTTTAAAGGAGGGAAGAGCTCCAGCCCCCCGAGCCCCGCCGTTCTACGGGCCCTGACACGTAGGCCTCTAAATAAGCATATTTCTTGCCTGACTGTAAATTTGGGAGATTTTCATTTTCAAACAAGCGCATAAAAGCATAATTTACTAAAAAGTGAGGAAAAATCCCGAAAAATTATTTAAATTTCAGCAGAATGTGTAAATCACTAATATCGAATTAGAAATAAACCATGCTTGAATTCTAATTGGGGGCAACTGCAGTAAATTGCACCTGAAATTGCATCATGCGCATTATAAGTTTCAAGAGCTTTCTTTCATACAAATACACAAAATGTAATAAAACATTATGAATAGTTCTAATGGTACACTTACGTGCAAATGCATGATCATTTTTGCGTTTCTTTCTGCCTGCAAAATAGTTTTCTTTCGCATTTTGTTTTGTTGCTGCTATGAGTTTATATTCATATTATTGAATATGTGTCATTTATTTTATAATGTTGTGCGAGAACATATTGATCAGTCCCTACCTACTAAGACTATCAAATTTCATGAAAGTGATAAACCTTGGATATCTAGTGAGATAAAATCGTTAATTAAACGAAGACAGCAAGCTTGGCACTCTGGTAATAAAGAGCTGTGGAAATATTTTAGAGACAAAGTTATAGATGCAATAATATTAGCTAAGGACTCATTTTATAATAAAAGAATTCATACACTTAAAATAAATAATCCCGCTGATTGGTATCGTCATATAAAACTCATAACTCAAGGACCTCAAGATCAACCATCCATCGACATACCAGGTATTGCAACTGATCAGCCTGAACATTTTAAGGAAGCAGCCGATTGCATTAACGATAAGTTTTTATCTGTGGCAGCAGACCTACCGAAACTTGATAAAACAAAGTTACCAGCATATTTACCTTCACCTGTGGATTGCCCAATAATAGAACCGAAAGAAGTGTATGATCTGTTACGTAAACTTAATTTACAAAAATCGACTATTTTAGGCGACTTACCTGTCCGAATATTACGTGAATTTGCTTATGAGTTATCTTTTCCATTATGTTATATTCTTAATTTTGCATTTAAGCAAGGGGTGTTTCCACAAGTATGGAAGTATGCTGAGATAGTACCAGTACCCAAATCATATCCACCAACTCTACTTGAATTACGGCCCTTAGCCCTAACTTCTTACTTTGCTAAAATAGCTGGAACTTTCATTACTAAGTGGTTGTGTGAGGATATTGGTGATATTATTGATAAAAACCAGTATGGAAATCGTCGTGGTCTTTCTACTTGCCATTATTTAATTGCAATGTTACATAATTTATACAAAATGCAGATAAACAAAAAACAATTTCAACAATAGTTTTAACCGATTTTTCTAAAGCGTTTGACCGGATTGATCATAATATTTTAATTTGTAAACTTGTTAAATTGGATGTACGACCATGTGTCATTTCATGAATAGTAGATTTTTTAGAATGCCGCCAACAAGTAGTAAGGTATAAAGGTCGTATTTCAAATGTAAAAATAACAATGTAGGAGTCCCTCAAGGTACAAAATTGGGGCCTATATTATTTTTAATTATGGTTAACGATGCGTGTCATGATTGTTTACTCCCTTTTTATAAGTATGTGGATGATTTAACTATAGTAGAAAGCCGGACTTGTACACAAATATCAAAATTGCAATCGGAATTATTGTTATTAGAAAATTGGTCTTTACTCAATAATATGAAACTTAACCCAACTAAATGCATTGCTATGACAGTCTCTTTTATGAAAAATCAAACTCACCAACTGTTGTATATTGATGAGACACTTTTAAATGAAGAAAATATAATCAAAGTTCTTGGAGTTTATATTCAATGTGATTTAAAATGGAATACTCAAGTAAAGGAAATGTTAAAGAAGTGCAATAGAAAGTTATATATGTTACGTACCTTGAAACGTTTTAATTTACCTATTATTGATCTCGTTATTGTTTATACTGGATACATAAGACCAATTTTAGAGTATTGTGCACCACTTTTTCATTCCAATCTAACACGTATACAAACAGATAATATTGAACGAATACAAAAACGGGCATGTAGAATTATTTTGGGACTTAATTATGAAACATATAATCATGCTCTAGAACTGTGCAATTTGTTAACGTTGGAAGAACGTAGGAATAAACTTTGTTTTGATTTCGCCATTAAATTAGAAAAGCATGATTTGTGTTCGTTATGGCTACCAAGTCAAAGAATTGTTAAATTTAATTTACGAAATGTACAGAAATATTCTCAATTTATTTGTAAAACTAGTCGCTTTAATAACAGCTCTATTCCCTATTTTGTTCGTATCTTAAACGATTATTATTAAAAAAAGTAAGCTTCATATATTTGTGTATATGTTTATGTTTAATGATGTTGCCTATTATGTGTATAAATGTGTCCAGTATTTTTATCCTTTTATATGTCATTAATTTTATTTTGTGTCAACATGTATAATGCTCAGTGTATTTTAAATATCATGATGTTTTTACCTTGTACAAATGATCTGCAATGCAGCTTCGGCTGCCAGAACATCATATGAATAAACCCTTATTGAATTGAATTGAATTGAATTGTTATCAAACAGGAATAAATAAATACATTTGTACAATGATAGTTGTACAATGATGTTAGAAGAAGCGATAAAAATCTCAACTGGTCCTATCTTATTTCCCCCTTTTCTTTTCTTCTTCCTCTATAATTCTTTCCCTTTCTCTCCTCTTTCTCTTTACCTTCCCTTCCTTCTCTCTCTTTTAAGTTTGCTGGGGTGAGGGCAGTGGCCTTTCGGTCACCCCGATCCACACGTTGTTTGCCGAATTAATCGCAACTGATCTCCCCTTCTTTTCATCCTTTTCTTTTCTTCTTCCTCTATTTTGTTCCCTTTTAGCCCTTCTCTTTCCCTTTCCCTCCCCCTTTTTTGGCGCGGGGGGGGGGGGGGGGAGGGGAGAGGCAAGGGCCTTTTGGCCCCCCCCCCAAATCCACATTTTGTTGGCGGGAAAATTGCAACTGATATACTCTTCTTTTCTTTTCTTCTTCCTCTTTATTTCCTTCCCTTTATCTCCTCTTTTCCTTTGTTCTTTCCCTTTCCTTCCTTCTCTCTCTCTTTTTTTGCTGGGGGGGGGGGGGGGGAGGCAACATCCTTTCGCCCCCCCCCCCCTGATCTCCTTCTTTCCCCCTTTTCTTTTCTCCTCCTTCTTCTTTTTTCCCCTTTCTCTCCTCTTTCCCTACCCCTTCTTTTTCTTCTCTCTCTCTCCCTCTCCCTCTCTCTCTCTTTATCTCTCTCTTTTTGGCGGGGGGGGGGGGGGGGGGGCCAATACTATTCAAACGTGGTTTATTTCTATTTCGATATAATACCAGTGATTTAGAAATGTTGCTGAAATGACATGATTTTCCGGGATTTTTTCTTACTTTTTTGTTAGGTTCAAAATATGCTCATCTGACCGTAAATAAATGCCTAAAACCACTGAGCTTCACGGGGCTCAGCCCCTTGGACCCGACGCCAATTTACGCTCCACTCGCTTCGCTCGCTACGCTCTAACTGATCGTAAATATTTCAACCCCCCCCCCCATCCACTAACTTTGTGTATAATATTATCAACGTTTTGGAGTTTAATTGTCCTCCTCTTTCATGAATTAAAGATTTATTCATCATAACTGATCTACTGTGAATCCAGTGAGCGTACTCCCCCCCCCCCTCTCTCTCTCTCTCTCTCTCTCTCTCTCTTTTCTCTCTCTCTCTCTCTCTCTCTCTTTCTCTCTCTCTCTCTCTCTCTCTCTCTCTTGTGCTAATATAAATACTTCAACCATCCACATGCCTACCGTTTTATATTCTCTTCAACTTTGTGTATGATTATTATCAACGTTTTGTTGTCGGTCGATATAATCGTCTTCCTCTTTTTTTTTCAAATTAGAGATCTATTTATCACAACTAGTCTACTGTGAATCCAGAGAGCTTTTCCATTATTACGTACTTCCTAGCTCCCCTTCTCTCTCTCTCTCTCTCTCTCTCCCATCCTCTCTTCTGTTCTCTCTTTCTCTTCCTCTCTTATGTCCTGGCTCGCTCTTACTCTAGATTGCAGTCACAATCCCTCGTAGTTAATCGTAAGTAACAGTGTCTAAACTGTCTACACTTTGAGACTAGGCGGATGGAAAGTTTCATTGGCTCTGTGCTTTAGCACCTACAGACTAGGAATAATCAGGGAGCTGGAGAACGGAAACTCCTTGGTGTAATCATGGATTGTGTTAGGCAGGCGCGTACACAGGGGGGGGGGGGGGAGTTAACCCCCCTTTTTGGTATTTTTTATGAGTATAAACCCCCTCATAACCCCCTAACCCCCCCCCCCCCTTATTCAGCAGCTGGCTGAGTCGTTGCGAAATTTTCGGTCAGATTTATAAATGTTAACCCCCCCCCCCCCCCCCCCTTGAAAAAAAATCCTGCGTACGTGCCTGGTGTTAGGTATGGTATAGTTGACACAGCCAGGCCGACAGAGCTATATAGGCTCTACTACTCAAGGCTTTATGAATTGTGGCAAAGAGTCTTTGTCTGCAGACTACTTTCCCTCTCTCAATGTCCTTACCCCCTCCCCCCTCTCTCTCTCTCTTTCTCTCTCTCTCTTTCTTTCTTTTGTCTCTCTTTTTAAACGAAATTTCCGTGAAATTCAAGTGAGTGAATTGACTTCTTCTATATTATGCGATCGCTTACATGAAGTATTCCTTCCACCCTTTCTCTCTCTCTCTCTCTCTGTATGAAATGTTTTATAGTTTGTTTATATATCAGTTTTTTATATGTATATTTTGTGTATTTGTATGTGTATTGTAAGATATGTGAAATGTAATTTGTTTGTTACAGCAGGGCTCCCTTGTAAAGCAGGCCTTAATTGCGGCTTGAATGAGACCACCCTGCTTTTATAAAGAAGACATGAATAAATAAAAAATCAATATCTCTCTTGTCTTTCTCTCTCTCTCTCTCTCTCTCTCTCGTTTACTCTCTCCTCTTCCATTTTCATCTAATCTCCTATTTGTATGAAATGTTTTATAGTTTGTTTATATTATGTTTTTTATGTATGTGTATTGTAAGATATTTGAAATGTAATTTGTTTGTTACAGCAGGGCTCCCTTGTAAAGCAGGCCTTGCGGCTTGAATGAGACCACCCTGCTTTTATAAAGAAGACATGAATAAATAAAAATCAATTTCTCTCTTGTCTTTCTCTCTCTCTCTCTCTCTCTCTCTCTCTCTCTCTCTCTCTCTTTCTCTCACTCTCTTACATACCCTCTCACCATAGTTTGCAGGCACAAACCCGTGTCACTCGCTATGCGTAACCGTGTTACTTCACACAGTGAGCAGCATACAGCAGTGTACTACATGTATGTCCCATTCGCAGGCCAAACAAATTCCACCCGCATTTGAAAAATAATACTAATTTAGAACTTTCCTCAAAACGAAAGGGCATGAACATTTTTGTGGGAAAATAACGAACATTAGTCGTCGAATCGACTTTAGTGATTGCAATCCTTTAAGTAAATAGTCTGATTTTCAGACCCTTGCACCGAATGGTCGTACGTTTTTGTGCTGCACAAAGATTCAATCAGTTTAATTTTGGCCATAACGAGAAGTGGGTTATTGATATAAACAAATGCTCATGTACCCTTTACAGCTCATTTTATGAATTGTATTACCAAAGAAAAAATGAAGTCAGCCAGTCACTCGATAGCGGATGACAGTTAAGTCAAGAAATTTAAACGGGTTTTCTTGCATAATTTGAATGTCACAGATAAGGACATACGTGCCATATTCATAATTCCTGCAAAGTTGTACATAATTTGATGTGAGCTGCAAATGGGACATGGTACCTTTAAGCTAGAGTATGTGCCTGCAGACTACGAGTCTCATCCCAACCCTCATTACTTCCCCCTCCATCTTATCTGCTTTTTAAAGCCCCACTGCACTACTTGTAGCTACTTGCGCCCTCTATATAGCAAGCAATGCCTAATCGGTAACCGTTGGTCCCCATGGTCCCCTTTTTCTTATGTTAATTGAGAGCAGATTTGATGAGATAACCACCTGTCAGTGACCTTGCAGAGAGGTCTTATCCCTCCTGGCCAAACTAGTGCAGATAGGCTTAAATAAACTTCATGAAACTGAGAACAATTAAATATTTAAAAAATAATTATGGCCAGGTCTTCATCATTTCCCACTATTTATTTCTTCTTGCATAGCATTCCACTTGTAGAGTTTGCATTTACTTAGAATATATCTATTTATCAAATTTTGCATGACAAAATACCCCCCCCCCCCTTCCACAGGGTTCCTTTATTAAATGATATCGTTCACATAATGTATACAAGAAGAGATATATACATGCAGAATTCCAAAATGATATTCTTGGCCATTCAAAATATGATAAGAACATACATTTATAGATATCAGTTACAAATTGTAGTTCATTTTTAAAATATCACAGATTTACTTGGCAAAATAATTTAGAAGAAATAAACAATCAGAAACACTTTGTAAAAGAAATAAATGTTAAATTTTAACAAAGAACATTCTTATTGCCACAAAGAGAGCATTTGCGCTAGGAAAGAAATGCTTAAATGTTTGAAACAGGAGAGGCCGAAGGGGGGGGGGGTCTTGAGATTACCATTCCACCACCCTTAAATGACAGTGGCGTTTCGTGAGTCCATCCATTATAAAGGGGGTACGTACTTTTGGGGGCACATACCTGTGGGGGAGGAGCGGGTGGGGACGTAAACGTAAGACGTAAAATCGTAAACGGGGGTCTTAAGACTCGTTCAAATATACTGTGGTAAATCGTAAACGTGTTAATGAATAGCAATTACGCGCAACAAAGATTTTGCACGTATTCACTGAGCCATGTGTAATGTTTCAATTATGCTTTTGTATTATATATATATATATATATATATATATCAGTTTAAAACAAAACGGCAAATCTTAACAAGGCTTTACTCGGAAAATAAAAATTTAATTTCACAAGAGGACTGAGTCTAGTCCAGGCATCTAGGCCCACATTTTGTGTTTTTAAAGATATTTCTTACAAATATTACAGATGAACGTCTGGTATAGAAACATCGGTATGGATAAAGTCGTACACTGTCCTCCACATTAGAAACATTCCGTTCGGCTCCTTTGCCCTGGGAGGGAGGAGAGCTAAAAACACAGGGGTATCAGCGCCCTCTGCCGGAGTAATCTTGGTCAATCCTATTACGTTATCCGGCCTGTGAGCAGTCATTTCAGTGCGTACTAAAGCCGGGCAACACTGAAAACGAAAGAGGCGAATATGGACTGTTAAAGTTCCCTGATAAAGAAAATTAAACTGAAAAGAGTTTTAAAAAATATATTAAAAAAAACTTAATTGCAGTTGTAATGCTCTTCCCTGATGAAGGGAACTATTTAGTTTACGAAAATTCGGACGATAAACATGAGATTTCATTCATTTGCAATATAATTAATGTGGTATTACCGTCTTCTCCTTTAATATAACAGACTACTTGACAAAGGCTTCAGTTGGTATCACCTAAGCACAGTTTACACTATGCTCCCTCGTCCCTCGCATTTCGTTCCTCCACCCCCCCCCCCGGTCATGAAAAGAAATCGCCTCCCCTGTTTATAGCCTAACGTTATTTTCTCTCTTCGACGGTTTATTAATGTATCATTATTCACTTATTATCCCATACGCAAATATATGATACATACTGAATTGAGGAGTATATCCTGTTTCGCGTCATCCTGTGAAATCTTCTCAGCCAGTAACTTTGACAGTGTGATCACACCGAGTTTAGAGATGCCGTAAGCCCATTCTGGGACTGCCCAACCCTTCTCTGCCGTGGTACCTCTGAGACAGCATCTGTGTTGCGTAAAAGATTTGTATTTTGTATAATATACCGTGCCATATTGTGAATAATAACCACGTACGGTATCAACTTATAATAATAATTGTTGAAAGATGCGTGGTCACAACAGCAGTTCCTGTAAGGAGACTAGGAGAGTCCCAAATAGGCCAATGGAATTGGTTCATTGCATCTCAGATGATGTTCACTATAGGCTAAAAACGAACAAGTGTTTGCATATGGACATTTCTTAAATGAAATGAAAACTCGATCGCAAACACTTTCAAGAAATGCATTTAAGTCAGATGTTAATGCATTACTGCATTTCCTATTAAGTCATCGTGTAAATAAATTTTGGCTGGGACCCAGTAAGTAAAGATCGACGCGTGCTCGATCTTATAATTAAAGCCGACATTTCTTTACAACTTGAAATCACTCCCAGGAAGCATTCAAAGCTTTAGTCTATTCACTGGCGGACTGATAAATATTGATAAGTCAGAATCGGGCAAGCCGGGGTTTTTGTTTTTAGTTCACTGTGGATACGCCATGGACCAGTGACGGCCTGGTGGTAGAGTCATTGTCCAGTAAGCAGTAGATGGCAGGTTCGAATCACGCAGGTTCCAAGACATTTTCTGACTTTCAAGTTTTTTATTACAACACATTGCTTTTTTGTTTTACTGGGTGCAAGCCGAAATCTTTACAAATTGAAATTACTCCCAAAGTGGGGGGGGGGGGGGGGGGGGGGGGCACCAAGAGAAAAGGGCACTTTCTGGAAGAAAAAAAAGGGTACCTACAAAGGGAAATCTCAAAGCGAAAACATACAATATTTTAGACGTTGATTCATTGTGATTGCATTATCAGGGATGATTTTAATATTTGTTTCACTTTATACACCATACAAGATATTGCCTAAGCATCATACTTTGCAGTTGGGTATGTTGGTCTGAAAAATCATTTGTGAGGTCGCAGTGCGAAAAATTACATCTTATAAAGAGGAAAAAACGCAATTCTTATGGAGTTATAAGCACATTCTCATAATGGAAGACTGAAAAGACCTTTGGTAAGTAACATAAGTATATCATCTATAAATGCGTGCGAGCGTAGCGAGCAAGCTTAGGGGGAAATTGCGCGTTTAATGATAAGAGGAAATGGGGACACTTATCAGAAAAAAAAGGAGCATGTGCCAATTAAAGTACAAAGAGTAATTATCAGAGGTGAAAATGGGGCACTGATCTTACACCTTCAAAACGAGGCACTCGCCAGGGATGAATAAAGTCACTCATGAGAATAGGAAATAAATAATATCATGAAATAAATGAACCCAAATTAAATCTTGAATGGCTTTAAATGGTGAAACTTACTTCAGATATTCATTCATAAGATCTACGACGCCTTGTTCATCTTTAGCTTGTCGAAATCTGTTCCTGACTTCATCATTTAACTGTTCTCTGAACATTAGGTATCCCGTCGTGCTAGCGACATTCACAATCCTACCAGGAGAGAAAGTAATGTTAAAAATAATTAATTTTGATAACTTGGGTTGGATTTTTTTTCTTCATGTTTCGCTTTATTAATTGTGCAGAATTTCAATCCACTTGCTTCATAATTTCCCTGCAAACACAAACACGGTCCCTTCTTTTGACCTATTCATCTAAAGAAAAATACAAGCAACGATTGCGACCAATTACTAATTTAGATTCTAAATATAGACATCAAAATCACGTCTCCTAAATTGTTTGCATGCATGGAACAAATCGGATGAATATGGAGGATGGGTCTCAAGTTAACTTTTGTAAAAATGCGTTGATTCTGTAATCTGTACCGTCAAACAGTGTATTTCTTCCTATGCCCAGATGGGTATGACGATGAGGCAGTGGCGATCCAGGGGGGGGGGGAGGTCCGGCCCCCACCCTTGAAAAAAAAAACGTGATTTTTACCTTTTTGGGGGTTTGGGCCCCCCTCTCCCTGACGCTCAAGGGGGGGGGGGGGTGCATTTTCGGGAGCAACAAAAAAAGGGCTCACTACCCTCCCCCTCCCCCCCCCCCCCCCCCCCCCCCCCTCCCCCACTGAGCGACTTTTCGGCCGGCGCGGTTTTCTGATTTTCGGGAGCAAAAAAAAATAAAAAAATTGGGCCCCTCCCCTAAGAAATCCTGGATCCGTGCCTGCGATGAGGTGCCTAGCTGTAACAGTTACTATCGCCACTTGTCACTCTACTGAGGCTGCTATAGTACTGGACATCGTTTGTTTAAGAGAACATAATTTATTATAGGCCTACGATACCTCAGTCACACCGCCAAAACGAATCCACGCCAATTCCAGACCGACAGAATCTGTTTCCATTAAATCAGGGCATGCATGTAGATTCTTAATCGATTTGTTGTCGGTCTGGTGTCGGTCTCATTGGTATGAATGTGACATAAGTCTTGCTCGTTCTTGCGACTGACTTTGAGTTTTTAGAAACGATTCAACTGAAAGAAATTGAAAGTCTCTCACCCCTCCCCCAAAAGGGGTCTGAGATTATCAATGTGACGTACCTTCCACCAGACCGAACCAGGGGTGTAAGACTGCGGCAGACAGCAGAGAGACCAAAGTAGTTTGTGTTCATGATCCGGACTGCTTTCTCATGTACAGGGATGTCAAACTCATGCTGAAACAACAAGAAATACACCTATATTTTGAACAACTTACTGCAGGACGAGACTGTGCTCATGTGACAATTGCTCCTTCGACAATTGCTCCGAGGGAATTTCCTCCACTAACTGAATTCCTGAATCCAACCCTGGACCAAACACCCACACTAAGAAATAAGAGTGCAATTGGGGTGCAGATTGCATCCACCTAGGCGCATTCGGCAACGGGTGAAGAAGAATTGTACACTTATTGATTAGTGTGTACCTCACCCTAAATGCCTAACACTAATGCTAAACCTAACCTTAAAACCGTCTGCTAACCTAACGTCAACATACTTTTAACGAAATAAAGCCCTAAGCAATTATTGTCGACGGAGCAACTACCAAAGCACCATTACGACACAATTATACTGTGGCCGTCGAATGTTGAAATTTCGAAATTAATCGAAAGCAATAACCCCAATCCTGATCCAAACTCTAAGATACCTATCTCTCTTACCCCAATCCTAAATCTAGCATTATACCTATAGAACTCGTTGCACAAGAGGCGTCATTTCGATCGCCTTGATATCTGCGCTATTTATCCCCCCTCCCTCCCTCCAGAAAAAAAAATCGACAAACAATTCAAAAGTTTTTTTTAAACGGTTTACATAATAAAACTCACCAAAAATAATATTTAAAAAACTCAAAAACTATCAATAATTGTTCACTCAAGCATAACAATGATGTTGCGATGTCTAAAGATAACCAGAGGACGAAGCAATCGTCTTCTAATGCTCAGCAAAATTAAAATTTCTAAGCCTTTTCCCGAGATTCAACTTTCCTGCATGATACCAGCCAGAACAAATTCTTCTCCAATGTGGATTTTGCACCCTTTCTCAAAAGTGGCTTTTGCCCATTTGAGCATAAATTTGTATCGCCAGCTCCTTTTGTCGGCGTCAGGTGACAGAACAGACCGTAAGCTTTCTACGGGTATGACAATCTCCTAAAATATTTTGAAATATGCAACCAATTGTCGACCACCTCATAATCATTCATGCTCTTTCAGTGAATACACATGGTAATGTTAATTACTAACCTATTGCTATTCACTTCACTGTAATCCTACGATAAAAATATTTGAATCTCAACCGGTAGTAACGTCATTTAGGAAGACCTTAATCTACATTTGCCACTCTCCACCCAGGTGTAAATGGGAACCTCATTGTGCCAGAGCGGTACATATCTGGCCCCTCGGCTATGACCGGGTAAATAAAGTTAACGGGGCGTGACGGACATGAGCGCCATGTAAGATACCATCATTATTTTTAACCAAATGGATATTACTTACTAGATCCCCCACACCGGCATTGTTGATTAATACATCAATGCCACCGTGTGTTTTCTCCAAGTAAGCCCGAATCTCATCGATGGTCAATTGGTCAGTAATGTTAAGAAGATGAAACTTGGGATAAAGTCCCTCTTTTGGAGGAGCTCAACAGCGGCACGACCACGCCCTTCATTGCGCGCGGTCAGGTAGACGACGCCATCTTGTCCAAAATGGCGACACAGAGATCGAACGATTTCTAGACCAATACCCTTGTTAGCGCCAGTTACCTAGGTTGGAAATAAAATTATTAGTAAATAGATAAAAGATGATGATGAGACCTTATGTACAATGTATTCTCAGATATTTCAGCCTCGGCATCTACACGTTTATCTATTTGATTATCTTATTTGGATTATGAGTCGAGAAAGGTACAACGAATCGTCTTTTTTCAAAGCTTCTGCCCTCCCTGCACCCACTCCCCTAAGTGATTTGCACGCTTCGCGGGCTCACTACCGCCCCCTAAAATGAAATCCTGGCTACGCGCTTGACATAGAGCCCTTTTTAAGTTCTTTCCCCTATCCCAATTTCTTTCAAACGTCGTAGGCGTAGTCACTACCATCCCATGAAGGTCACTGTTGAGGCCTTTCTTTCGCCCTATCTCCAGTATCACAGAAGCTACAGACTTCGTACAAATTGCTCTGGATAGTCCGAGAGGAGCTCTTTCGTTTGACACGTAGAAACATGGCGTCATTGCACGCACATCGTTGTGACACGATTGCATTTTTAGTTTTTCTTTCTTTTTCTTTCCCTCTCTTTGTCCCCTCCCCTTCTCTCAATTTTCCCGACGGCAGCGCAATTTTACCGACAATATCCTGCTAGGTTGGGGGGGGGGGGGGGGTCGCACCCCCACTCTTAGCGACGCCCCTGACTGCAGTTACTGCGGCTCAGCGTAAATTGCAATGCGTGAGCGCCGTGATCGACACCGGGGGAGTTGGCTGCTGGAGACATTTCAAATCCTGTGCGCTCGCTGAATTTTCAACTCCCACATAGGCCTCTATATATCATAGGGTTCTGTGTGGGCAAAAGTCGCGGAGGGGTTAGGCGTACTATCACAGGGTTTTGGCGTTCTATCATTTGACCTTAGGTCAATTGATAGAATTCAGTGAATAAGAATCTATGTATAAGGTAATAGTAGTATTAGTAATAATAGTAATACTAATAGTAATGAAATTATTATATAGGCCTTATTTTGTGCTTACCACTGCAACTTTTGCTTCGATTCCGTTTGAGGTGCTCATAATTAAATACGGTAGGCCTACTGGTGAACGTGGATGGGTGTGAGTGTGCGTGTGGGTGACCGATCAAAGAATAATTCAACGGTACATGACCGACCAAAGAATAATGCAATATAGGGTCTATTGATAATCTGTGGGCAAACTGCAAAGTTCAGCAATAGTATGCAAATATTGACTGCTCATGAGGATGATGGTCACTCCCAAGGTGGTGTTTACACTCCCTCGGCTTCGCATCGGGGTGAATTGATTACGGGCAACAAGCGAGTGGGGTGGAAGGGAGGAAACTACCCCCATGATTTTCTTTTTTTGTGTGATGGACTTATATCTTAAGCTACCCCCTCCCCACCGTCGAAAATATCTGTTGGTGTTGTTTTGTTTGTTTATAATATACGATCAAGATAATTGGGCAAACAGTATGAGGAGAATAAAGAAAGATTTTTTTTTTTTTAAATAAAAAAATACAGGTTTTAAAAAAGCCCAACAGAAAAATAAGATACGAGCATGAAAAAGACAAAAAGACAAGTTTTAATATGACTTTTCATGCATGCCAGTATATTTTGCCTGTGTACGCATACGAGGCGGGATGGAGTTGTAGGGGGGCGGTAGCTCCTCCCCATTCAGAAAATGTTGAAATCTTTAACCCATTTGGGTCATTGCGGTAATGTTAATGTTTGTTCGGCCTAAAGTTGGTCTGGTGACGACCTCGTTGGTGGGGCTGAGGTATCAAAAAATTACATTATCGGAACATCAAAAATCGGTATTTGTCAGTGAGTCGGTGTGAAGTTTGTCGGTGTGACTGAGGCGTAAAATTAACGATAAAGGTTACTTCTAGATCACCATGGGCCGAGGCCTGTTTTCTTGCTTAGTTTTTTAGTTCAATGGTCCCCATCTGGGAAGTACCTACATGTACTAGATATCTTGGAAATGTGTATCTGAAACAAAAATGACGTTTGAAACTTGAGCAGTAATTAATAACGGCAGAAAACAAAAAGTTAAGAATTGATTGCTAGGGACCTTTCTTCCCTATCAACCATAATAGGGGAGATATTTGGAATATTTTGCAGCAAATATGGTTATTGTGCTTAAAAAATGGCGTTTTGAGAAGTGTGATGTTATGAATTGATGTTCAATCATATAAAAGTTGGATGTGCATATTAATTAGTACCTTATTTAATATCAGTACGTGTATACATATGGGTAAAAAGTCTCATAAAACCCAGGCTGATATCAGTATGAACATAGAATCAGATGTATTTGTGTATTTATCAAGTTTTTCAAAGGGATGGCATTATTAGTCACATGCCTCATACCCACTACCCCCCCCCCCTCGAAACCAGCTCCATTAGGGGAAAACAACATAAACATACAGTAGTTTCCAATCATACGATCAGCAAAAAATGTTTTCTGACCAAATTTCATACCATGCTCATTTTATTATTCACACACAGCCACCCCTATCACACTAGATCTACATATATATATATTATATATACACACATGTAGGCAAGCCCCCCCCCCCACACACACACACACACACATACACACATACACAAGGTAATACCAAATGAAATAATGAATAAAATTAATTACAATTTAAAAAAAAATTATGACATGTAAATTCAAATGCCCCTCATGCATATGAACACACAAGTAACACATACCCCATCATATATACCCCCCCTCCATTTTTCCTCTCTCTGTGTGAACCTCGCATGAAAGCAATGACAGAATTATACCAAAGAATAATGCAGTGTACGGACCGACCAAAGAATAAAGCAATATATCAATAATCTGTGGGCAAACTGCAAAGTCCAGCAATAGTTTCTGTTCTAATGGCCTAATTGCGATTGATTACGGGCAACAATCAGCGAGTGAGGTGGAAGGGAGGAAACTACCCCCATGATTTTCTTTTTGTATGATGGACTTATATCTTAAGCTACCCCCTCCCCACCGTCGAACAATATGTGTTATTGTTGTTTTGTTTGTTTATAATATACGATCAGGATAATTGGGCAAACAGTGTGAGGGAATAAAGAAATAATATTTTTTCAAATCAGGGAATTACAGGTTTTTTAAAAAGCCCAAAAGAAAAATAAGATAAGAGCATGAAAAAGACAAAAAGACAAGTTTTAATATGACTTTTCATGCATGCCAGTATATTTTGCCTGTGTACGCATAGTACGAGGGGGGTGGTTTTTATAGGGAGCTGTAGCACTAGCCCCTCCTCATCCAGAAAATGGTTGAAACCTTTAACCCATTTTGGCTATTGCGGTAATGTTAATGTTTGTTCGGTCTAAAAGTGTCTTAAAACCCAGGCTGATATCGGTATGAACATAGAATCAGATGTATTTGTGTATTTATTCAAAGGGATGGCATTATTAGTCACATGCCTCATACCCACTACCCCCCTTAGCTTCCTCCCCCTCCCCGAAACCAGCTCCATTAGGGGAAAACAACATCATATAAACATACAGTAGTTTCCAATCATACGATCAGCAAAAGATGTTTTCTAACCAAATTTCATACCATGCTCATTATATTATTCACACACAGCACCCCTATCACACTCAGGGGCGGATCCACGTAGCGACTATTCCGGCCCGGCCCTCCCCCCCCCCCCCCCCAAAACGATAAAAAATAGGATAATAACGTAAAGTTAACCTTTATAAAACAAAAAAACAAAAACGCCCCCCCCCCCCGCTTATTCGCCGGCCGGCTGAGTCGGCACTAAATTTTGTATTAAGGTTTGGCTACCCCCCTCCCCCTTGACGCCGTCTGGATCCTCTGCAGCCACGGATCCACGGGGGGGGGGGGGCTAACGGGTCAACAACAAAATTTTTTTTTTTTTTAATTCTCACGAATTAGGTGAAAAAACAAAAATAGTGGTCCACCCCCACCCCCCCCCCCCCCTTTTCCACCGGTGACTGAGTCGCAACTCATATTTTCTCACGGATTTGGCCCCCCTCTTCCCGCCGGCTGGATCCGCCACTGATCACACTAGATCTACATGAATATAAACACATGTAGGCAAGCCCCCCCCCCCCCCACACACACACACACACAACTACACACATACACAAAGTAATACCAAATGAAATAATGAATGAAATTAATTACAATTTTTGTTTTAATTGTGACATGTAAATTCAAATGCCCCTCATGCATATGAACACACAAGTAACACATACCCCATCATATATCCCCCCTCCATTTTTTCCTCTCTGTGTGACCTCACATGAAAAGCAATGACAGAATTATTTTCATAGTATAGTATGTTCTATTTACAACAAAAAAAAGAAATAAAAAGGTTCACAGTACAAGTTCCAAAACACTGTTGACATAATAAACCACGTTTTAGGTATTTCCTATTAGAATTATATACATGTATCATACATGTATCATACATAATGTATGTACCATCAAGTTTCATTAAAAATGTTTATAAATCACATTGTTAGAATATTAAGCTCTGCCATATTAAAACGGTACTTCTCTGGATGTATTCATACTTCCATTAAATTAATTCAGCCAAAGTAAGCAGAAACGTGTATTGTAACTTCTAAGCTCTTAAAAACTATACTCTACTATACTCACTTTAATTCTAAAGTGTAAAACTCGGTAGTGACTGCCAAACTGTATAACTCATAGACATGGGTTGCACATGATAAAATATGCAACAGTCCATAACGATATAGATCAGAGATTCGGCACATTTGGCACCTATGGTTACTTCAAAATACCAAAAAATTCAAGTTTTTAAACCTCATTTCGACCTTAAAAAGTCAAAGTTAAAAAAACAAAACATGACAAGGGCAGTCCAAATGAAGATTTAGATCTCGAACTGTTAATCTAACTATAGTGTACGTTTATTATTATAGAAATTCTGAAGAAAAAAACAACATTTATATTGACACAATATCTGTACCTAATCCTTTATTTTTTTAAAAATAGGATTACTTTTCATGTAATACATCTTTAAAAAAAATATATTGCATATTCATCATAGAGCATCTTTAATGCTTCCACTCCAAATAGTAAAGGTATAAAAATAGAATTGTCTATACTGATCAATGGCGTACGCAGGATTTTTGCAAGGGGGGGTTTTAAAATTTAGAATTGCTCCGAAAATTTCGCAACGACTCAGCCAGACGGTGAATAAGCGGGTGAGGGGGGAGGGGTAAGAGCACATTTTTTTTTTGTCCAGAATTGATGGAAAATTCCGCAACGACTCAGCCAGGGTTGTCCCGGAAATTATGAAAATTTGGTTCGTTCAGTTTGGGGGGGGGGGGGGGGTGGGGGGTAACGTCATTTTTTGTGTCATCCTTTAGCACAATTTTTTTTTTTTGTTATTAAACAAAAATGGAGGGGGGGGTCCTCCAAATCATACACATAAAACAAAAATTGAGGGGGGTTTGACCCCCGACACCCCCCCCCCCCCCCCTGCGTACGCGCCTGGGCTCCTGGCCAAATGAAAGAAAGATATTAAACACATCCTCTCGTTCTCCCTGTTCCTACTGATCCTTTATAATATTCCAAATGCTTGCCCATTTGGCAGCATATGAATGACTAAACTTGTTTTTCCTTTGTGCAATGTCAGGTTCAACAGATTCGAACGCCGCACCGACACCTGGAAATATATTGTTTACCTTACACTTACAGCAGCCGAAAGTTCGAGAGATAGATATTTCTAGACTTCCGGTGCTCATAAATACCCAAGATAACATGCATTTCTATTAAAAAGGGTGCTAAAGTCATTCCAGAATCTTTTAAACGACTTGACAGAAACGGGAAAGAGTGACCTTTAACAAAGGGGTCACTCTAGCAGGCGCGGATCCAGGATTTCTTAGGGGTGGGGCCCAATTTGTTTTCTTTTTGCTCCCGAAAATTTGAAAAATCGCGCCGGCCGAAAATGCGCTAAGTGGAGGGGGGGGGGGGGGGTGGGGGGGGGGGGGGGTGGAGGAGCACATTTTTTTTTTTTGGCTCTCGAAAAATTGAAAATTTGCACCCCCTCCCCCCCCCCCCCCCTCCCCCTTGAGCGGCAGGAGGAGGGGGGCCATCTCCCAA